AGGCTTTTTAACTTGTTAATCCCCCAAAACTTTTTTATTTTAACAAAAATTTTTTGATAACATCTCACCCCTCTCTCATTTTCCCCCTTTTTAAAATTGCTTCACCACTCCTTTAACCTCTCTTTTTTCTCCATATACTCTTCCCCCCTTGCATCACTTTACTTTTTGTAAAAACTTTCATATCTAAAATTTTTCTCCCCTTTCACCTCTTTACATACTTCCACCAATCGCTCCTCTTCCCTCCTGCCCCCACTTTTCCTGTACCCACAAACTTCTGCGAAACACTCTAACACTACATTTTTAAACAACCAACCCCATACCTCTTCGACCCCCCATTGCCTATGCTCTCATTAGCCCATCTTATCCCTCCAAATAGCTGTTTATATCTTACCCTAACTGCCTCCACTTTTAGTTTATAACCTTCACCTCTCTTCCCAGATGCTTCCATTCTCCTTGTACCATATATATAAATATATATAGGTATATATATATATATATATATAATATATATAATATATATATATAATATATATTATAATCTTTTCATGTAAGTTGTTTGTACGTGTGTGGGAGAGGGCGGAATAATGCTGGTACTAGCACTTTGTATCTCATAGAACCAATCACAATATAGCACCAGTACTGGCCAGAGACTACTTTGTCAGTACATCTCCTTCTGAGACCTCCTTCCCTGCAAGACATTCACTTTGGTCTGCTATGAATCTTAACATCTCAGGACAGGAAGTTAGGCCCAACAGAAATGACCTACAATACAAAATCCAGGTAATTGTTTTGATAATGAGAAAAAATCACAGCACCTACTTTTATCCCTTCGAAGAAGATAGTTGCAGACGAGTCCCTTTATTCTGTTCAGGACGACTGTCCTTCAAACCACTATATACCAAGCAACATAATCACCTTTGTAAAAACTTTTTGTTATGTGTGACTGTGAATGACATAGTGATTGATGTCAAGTTTTACACTGAATAAACGCACTCAATGATTGCTCAGGCGGATGTTGGGCAATTCCGGTTATATTTGAGTCCCAAAAGGGGACCATACCTTGGCAAGGGTCATACGCTGTACACAGAACAACTGATAAACAAGTCCTATGCTCGCATTTCCTCCATGTGAGGAATACCGATATATGTGGAACAGTGAGAAGAAATAGAAAACTGGAGACATTGCTGAAGGTGCAGTGCAACCATTTAAAGAATAATAATAATGATGGTTGTACAAAGGAATATAATAGCACAGGTTAAGTGCGAAAAACCCTTTTGTATGCAGAGCATTTCGGCAATGACATCATGGTACTGACGTGACATGACAAACGGGACGTGCAGTTGCTGTCAAGCATCCACAGAAACGAGTTGGTACAAAGTGAACAGGAACACCAATGAACGCATTGTAAAGGCAGCTGCTATCGTCGACTCTCATACATTCCCCTCTTTGCTTCCAATGATAATGTTCTTTCTTTCCACAGACTCCTCAGTGCACCATTCACTTTTTTTACCTCATCAATTCTATGACTCATCCACCCATCTGCTAACACGTACACTTCCAAATATCTGAATACATTCACTTCCTCCATACTCACTCCCTCCAATCTGAAATCCAGTTTTTCATTAGGTAAAGTTTTTGTTATCCCTCATCACCTTACTCTTTCCTATGTTTACTTTTAATTTCCGTCTTTTACATACCCTACCATACTCGTCCACCAACCTCCGCAGCTCTTCTTTAGAAACTCCGAAAAGCACAGTGTCATCAGCAAAGAGAAACTGTGACAACTCCCACTTTGTGTTAGATTCTTTATCTTTTAATCCCACGCCTCTTGCCAACACATGGGCATTCACTTCTCTAACAACCCCATCTAAAATATAGTGAACAACCATGGTGACATGACATATCCCTGTCTAAGGCCTACTTTTACTGGGAAATAATCTCCCTCTCTCCTACATTCTCTAACCTGAGCCTCACTATCCTGTAAAAACTTTTCACTGCTTTCAGTTTGCTACCTCCTATTCCATACATTTACAAGATCTGCCACATTGGCTTCCCCCCATCCACCCTATGATGCGAGTTTTCTAAATCCATAAATGCCATAGAAGCCTCTTTACCCTTTTCTACATACTGTTGGCCTATGTTTCACTTCAAGTACTTGGTCTACACACCCCCTACCTTTCCTAAAGCCTCCTTGTTCATTTGTGATCCTGCTTGCCATCTAACTCTTAATTTTTTCGATAATAACTCTACCATACACTTTATAAGGTATACTGAACAAGCTTATTCCCTGAGTAATCTACAAGCTTATTCCCTATAATTTTTACATTCTCTTTTGCCTTTATATAAAGTAATTATGCATGCTTTCCAATCCCTTCGTACCTTACCCTCTTCCATACATTTATTAAATAAATACACTATCCACCCCAAAACTATGTCTCCCAATGTTTTTAACATTTCTATCTTTATCCCATTAATCCCAGCTGCTTTACCCCCTTTCATTCTACCCACTGCCTAATGCACCTCCCCCTCACTCACAGCTGGCTCCTTCAAGATCTTATACCTCCCTACCTCTGACTCCCTTATCTAATACTATCGTCTCCTATTCTTAACTGTCAAATCCATTCATTCCCTAGGCTTTCTCAACTTATTAATAACACTCCATAACTTTTTCATATTCTCAAGAAAAATTGTTGATAGCATCTCACGACTCTCTCATTTGCTCTCTTTTTACATTCCTTCACCACTCTCTTAACCTCTTTTTCTCTCCGTATACTCCTTTCTCTTCTTGTTTCACTTTTACTTTGTAAAACCTCTCATTTGCTAACTTTTTCTCTCTCTTACTACTCTCTTAACCTGATCATTCCACCAATCATCTTCATCCCTCCCACATCCACTTTCCTGTAACCACAAACTTCTGCTGAACACCCTAACACTACATTTTTATATCTATCTCATAACTCTTCAGCCTCATTACCTGTGCTCTCACTAGCCCATCTTTCTTCCAATAGTTGTTTATATCTTTCTCAAACTGCCTCCTCCTTTAGTTTTTCATAATAATAACAATAATAATAGTAATAATAATAATCTTTATTTCTTAAAGTACATGTTACAAGTATTATAGACCTATCTGACATCACTGGCATACCTCTGTATATAAAAAGTATCCTGTTTCATGTTCCATCATTCCCTCACGTCTTGCATTTATCTTCATCCTTAATGTATCACTAATTAGATTTTTTGCTTATTCAGTTATTTAATACCTCCAATATAATATAAACTATGTATTCTTATTCTCATATACTAGTAATCATAATTTAGTTTCATGGCTGCCCGAAATGCCTAGCATAATAAGAAGCTTTCTGAAAAGTAATTTATGTATGTCAATTACTCTAATTATATAATGTATTGTACTTCATTTTATATAAATAAATTTTGTTAATCTTGTTTCCCAGGATACGACCCGCAACAGTCGTACCAACATACACACATCACATCTCAAAAAAAAAAAATCCTTTATGATAGTAAATCATAACTCTTGCAGGGACGGATTTATAAGAGGGAAAATTGGGAACTGCCCCGGGCCTCCCTGTCAGAGGGGCACCCAGACAAAGGACTTTCTTAAGAAATTACGAAATAGTGTGTGGGAGGCATCAGAAAATAGAAAGAAAGGGTGCCCCTCATCCCCTCTCCTTTGAATAACTTGACTTAACTATTTCTGGTTATCGTCAGTTTTGAGGTAAATGACCAGACCATGAGGTTAAAGGTGACCAGAGTGCACACACGTGTGTGTGTTTGTGTGTGCATGTGTATCTGTGTCTGTTTGAGGGAGGTAGCTAGTGCGTGTGTAGCTTTGATCTTTTTTCCTAGAACTTCTGTGCCATAGATATGAATAAACATAGGCTAGATATTATAATTACGATGGGGTTGATATTTAGACTCATGTGCAACACCTGGGTATCTTTATTGTAGACGTTTCACCATTCAGTGGCTTTATCAATACAAATTCTAGGACATAATTTGAAGACAGTAGAACTATATACAGAAGATGAGGTAATCAGTCCCTCAGCCTTGAAGTTGGTGTGGAGAGCACCGTGGTTGTGGAGATTCTGGAGCATAGGCAAGGAGGCAAGGGTTGCATGATTTTACTAAAGCGTCCTGGAGGTGTACGCGCATAAGAGAATTAATATTTGAAGTGTTCTTTGAGATCCAAGGTAAATTAATTAAAAAGTAAAAAAACAGGTGAAGAACCCTTTCTTGGCCGTTATAAGCTGGACCTCTCCTAACAGGATTAATTTTTACAATTTTTTACAGAAAGTCAATAAAATTGAGAAAAATTAAGTCAGACGTATTCTTAGAAATCTCACTTTCTTTTTTTTTTTTGAAACCTGCTATTTATCATTCATTTTAGTTCATTTCTTATTTTTAATTCAATTAAATTTCCATGTTGAGGGCCCCCCAGACCTGAAGTGCCTCAGCCCCCCAAGGTCTAAATCTGGCCCTGAACTCCAGCCCATTGTTACTCGCGGGACCACTGTATATCAGTGATGGTACTTTGTCTCCTGCAAAATCCAGTGATTTTGTTGTTGAAGTAATCTCTATAGATTTAGCTGGGGATAGGCAGAGAGATTCGGTACAGTTATCATTGAGATAATCACTAACTCGAGCTTAAGAGTTTCTGAGTTAGCTAGATTTAATAGTATGGTGGATAATTTATTCAGTTTAGTTATTGTTTCAGAATTAGAATGGACGTTCATTTGGTTTAGTTGACACAGTCTCTATTTTTATGAGTCTTATAACTGTAAGGAATATTAGAGTAACGTGTCAGTCTAAACATTATGAACAGTTATGTATAAATAACTTAGGTAGCAAGTTTATCATACTTAGGGTATAAAAGAGTAAGTAATCATTCTTAACAATGAATATTATGGTGATAATGCTAACATTTTTAATAGTAATACTGTATTACATGAAAAAGAAACTCACAAGGGCTTTTAACTTACAGTTAATTTCTTGGGAGATATTTCACCAGTAATTCTCCCAACTGTCTCCATGATTGTTGAGCTAGAATCTTCCAGGACAGAGACAGCTGTGGCACCTGTCTCTGTGGTCATGTTGAAAACCTTCTTGATAGTCTCCTGCACCTGTTATTATCAACATAAGTATTAATGGTGGATACCAGCAACAATGTAGATCCTAATAATGTTGGTAGAATTAACGACAATATGTTAGGTTAAAGGACCAAAGTGCAATTAATGCGACATTTTATTATGGCAACGTATCACTCTCCAGAAACTTTGTCAAGCCATTACAAACAATACATGGACACAGAGTGTATGTAGAGGTACAGATGAGGTGCGAACTATAATATAATCATTGTAGGTAGTAATAGTACTTATGGTAGTAGTAGTAGTAGCAGCTATGTAATGGCGTGGTTTATCGATTTGAGGAGAATTCTTGCTAATATTTCAGACATGATTAAGCTGCCTTTATTCTGTTTGTGTTAGAAATAGTGATTAATGATTATACGAGGCATTTACTTCTATGGAAATTGGGTTCTTTAATTACCAGGCGGGCGTTGTTGAATTTCATCAGGTGGTTGGCGAAATTCTGGTGTTGTATGCAGACGTTGTTCCAGTTATCGTTCCCAAATGCATTAATGTGTTCATTGAGACATGTTTCGAGGTTTCTTGCTGTTTTGCCTACATATATTGTCACAACCTACACAGGGGATAGTATAAACTCCTGCACTGATTGGTTCAATATTCTTCAATTCCATCCTAGTCAGATCTTTTGTGAAAGTACTGGTTGTGATATCAGTTTCTAGCCAGTGCAACCTGGCTGCTGTAGGGAAGGAATATAACTTTAAGAGTGGTGTTAGTGTGAGGATAATTGATGATCCGGTGGGCTCTTTTTGCAGGCTTTGATGAAAAAGGAAGTGAAATGTCGATCAGTAAAGGTTTTGTTTATGCATGTCGGGAAACTCTGGACTGTTAATTCGGTATGCTGTTAGGAAAAATCTAATGATGATGATGCTTCTTTTGGTTTTAGTATCCTGACTGTGTCAGATCATTTTTGTTTGTAGGTTTCCTGTAAACTTGAAACCTTAGTCATTGGACTCCTCTTCAAGTGTAAAGTGGATAGCCAGTTCAACTGAGCTGAACCAGAACAGGACAGAAGGGACTCACAGGTAAGACCCACAAGGGGTGAGCAGAGAAGTGTGGACAGACGAAGAATAGCTGTGGAGAGGAATGTCTTCAGCCGAAGATAAAGAACCGGGGCTAGACCCGGCCGCATGCATGGTGAAGCATATGTATGCAGGCGAATAAAAGGCAGGAGATCACAAGCTGGACGTGCTGAAACTTGAGTCTTGGGTGTGTCTTGATGGTGATTGGTGGTTGGAGGGCGGCAGGAAGTTGGGAGGTAGGAAGAGATGGCAGTTTCAAGGTGATTGGGGTCTTCAAGATGATGGCATAGAGAGAGGACGTCGGGGATTCTACTCTGAGCACTGAGACCCAAGTTATATTTTTTGGGGTTATCCTGAGTGATACATTCATCAGAGTTGAGAGGAAAACTTGCTGCCATTTCGCGCCCATTCCCTTGAAGAGGGTAAGGCGGTGACTAGATTGCTTGTTCCCCCCTCTCCACCCCATCACCTCATCCTACCGCCATCCTCACCTCACCCAACATTTACACTGGTCCACACACACACTACTTACACTGCTCTCCTTCTGCCTTTCCTGTCTTCTTTTTCAGCAACTTCGCCTTTGGCGATTTATAACAGCATTTTGACCATCCGGTAACCTGTGTGATTTTTTAAAATCCGACCGATCTTTGCCTTGGGCCATGTCCCCCTCACTTCTCGAGGGTAAGCTATTTTAAGGGCCGACCTTCATAAGTAGGGTGGCTTAGGATGTTTAGGACTGACACAAAGGAAAGTTTTTCTTTTAAAGTAGACTTTGTTTTGGATGTACCTTCCTGGGCATCATGACGAAAATACGAGTAAGAATACGTGTCATTGACAATCAGAAGTCTAAGAAGGAAATACTTGAATGTATTTGTACAAATTCCACTGTTGCACCAGTGGATGTTTTTCAACCTCACTGCTGGTTTACTGGCATGATGGGTAGGGTATGGCACGGGTTCCATGCTGCATCTGCGCTACTTGCGGTGCTGACGTCCTCTTGGGCGTGGAGGGAGATTTCTGGCCCTTTCATTCCTCCTAGGAACTATCCCTCCCCGATCCCCCCTTTTTTTATTCTTTTTTTTATTTTTATTTTCTTTTCTTCTTTCTTTTTTTTTCTTAAAAACAAAAAGAAAGAAGTAACCTAACCATGGAGTACCCGATCCATGACCCCGCTACCCCCGGGCCCCTTATTGTTACCGCACCCCGTTCTGACCTCGCCTCATCTTTTGGCCACTCTTCGGACATTCCTAAGGCCCCTGTACCTCTTGCTGGTGCTGTTTCCTCACCCGCTTAAGGTACCGGGGCTTCCACTGACTCCTTCGATTTGTCTGACCTCCGCTCTCCTTTGACTATGCTTCCGGCTTCTTCCTCTACGGTGCGGCGATTTTCGAATCGCCAGCCCGTCCCACATCAGACCGACTCTGGTCCCACTTCTAAACGTCAACGACAATCTCCTAATGATGTTATTTAGTTACCTTCCCATTCTACTCGGAAAAGACCGACACGTCATGCACTCCCTCTCCACACTCAGTTTTGGACCACACAATGTACTAAATTCTTTACATTAAGACCGACTTCTTCTACTGCCTATCTTTCCGACCATAGTATTGGCAAAGCACTCCTACATCATGCTCTTAAGAGTGGTATGCACATCATCACAGTCCAGAATCCTACCCAAGCTCATGATCTTTCTCTTCTTTCACATATCGATACTATTCCTATCACTATCGAAAAACATCATTCCCTCAATTCTTGTAGTGGTTCTGTTATTCTGACCCATACCATAGTCCAACAGAATTTCCAGACATGTGGCACCGACATTCTCGAACAGCTGGAACTCCAAGATCTACCAATTCTCAAGGTAGATACTTAAGTTCTTCCTGCCCGCAATGTGGCTCGTTTAACTTTTGACAGCCATGAACTCCCATCCTCTGTTTATGTAGCAGGACATCGGTTACAACTTCGGAAGGTGATCCCTACACCACAACAGTGTAGGAATTGCTGGCGATTTGGCCACCCAGCAAAATATTGCAGATCTATAGCCGAATGCCCAGTCTGTGGTGCCGATGACCATTCTAATATGTCTTGCAGTCGAACTCCCTCTTGCCTTAATTGTCATGAGGCTCACCCTTCGAACTCTCACCGTTGCCAAGTCTACTTAAATGAGCGGGAAATTCGTTGCCTCAAAGAGGTAGAAGGTCTCCCTTATGCTATGGCGGTTTCTAATCTCTGCCTCCAAGGGAGACTGCCCCATGTTTCTTATTCTCGTGTTTCAAAGCGTCCCCCCACTTCTGGGGTCACATCTTCTGCAGCCTCCTCTGCGGTTGCCAGTCCCATAGTCACTCCTGTATCTAATTCTTTTGCTGTCCTGGACTCAGACGTCCCTACTTCAACTCCTCAGTCTGTCCTCACTTCTTCGTGTCCTCCCTCACAAACCCCGGTATCGACAAGACCTCGTACGACACCTCCCAATCCTCCCTCTACTTCTCAGAGGCCCAAAAAATCTCCTTTAACCCCTCCTTCCCTTCATCCACCTCCACATTTTACCTTCCCAGTCTCTGTACATGGGTCTTCCCTTTTCACTGGCTCTGTTACAAGTGTGGAGGTTCATCCTCCTCCTCGTACTGTGCCTTCCTCCCCTGTCCCCTCCCAAGTTTCTTCCTCTTCTGCCACCTCCCAGGTTTCTGCCTCTTCTGTCCCCTCCCACACTTCTCCAGTTCCCTCCACCCTTTCGCCCCCCCCTACCTTGGTACAGTCCATTACAGCTCCGATCTTTACTCAAACTTCTCCTCCTTCCATCTCCAATATTGTCTCCCATACGACGTCTCTGAACTCCAAAACACTTGAAGCAATCTCTGAATATATTGCAGAGACCAAACCATCAATGGACACTGATCCACCCTCTGTTCCTTCTCTTTCCTCTTCTCCATCTGCGCAACTCCTTTCTTCACAACTCACCGTTCCTTTGCTACTTGAACGTTTTCCTTTGCCACTGCATGTGGACTTTTCTAACCACTCTAGTCCGTAGGTACCCTTACCTGCGGATTTCAGGTATCTTTATCGTTGCCAATCATGGCCTATTTACAGTGGAATATTCGCAGCCTCAGGGGTAATCGGGGTGAGCTTCAGATGTTGCTCTCCCAGTTTTCCCCTGTTGGTGTTTGCTTACAGGAACCAAAATTACACTCTTCCGTTATGTATCCAATCTCAGGCTATAATTTATTGTATTCTTCAGATCCTTTTCCTGATGGGACCTTTAATGAAAGTGCCCTTCTTCTACGCACTGATATTCCGTACCATCAGCTATTTGTTCGTACTTCGCTGCATTACACAGCAGCCCGTATCCACTTGTATAGGTGGTATACACTCTGTTCTTTGTATCTCTCTCCTTCTCGGGCAATATCTATGCCAGATATTGCCTTTCTTGTTTCGTCATTACCGCCACCACTTCTGTTACTTGGCGATTTTAATGCCCATTATTTCCTCTGGGGGGTCTCACTGTGATTCCCGTGGCATTCAGAGGCTTTTCTTGCTACCCTCCCCCACCATGTTTTAAATACAGGTACTCACACCCATTTTGATTCTCGGACTCGTACTCTGTCTTGCATCGATCTCTCAGTCTGCTCTTCCTCCGCAGCATTAGACTTCACCTGGTCTGTTCTCCCGGATTTACATGACAGCGATCATTTCCCAATCATTCTTACTTCCCCTTCATATTCACCACCTCTTCGTAACCCACGCTGGCAATTTGATCAGGCAAATTGGAACCTTTACTCACAACTAACTGTTTTTAGTGAGGTTCCTTCTTCGTCCTCCATTGATGAGCTTTTACACCTCTTCTCGTCCTCCGTTTTAACCACAGCTTCTCATTCTATACCCCAAACTTCGGGCAGGCATTCTCAGAAATGCATGCCTTGGTGGTCTCCTGCTTGTGCTCGTGCAGTACGTTTGAAACGC